CAGCAGAATGATCACTTACATCAGCCCTCCCATCTAGAGCACTTTGTTCATAGAAGTAATACATCCATCAGTATTCTATATCTCTCATTGAAGAAGAGATTCTTTGTTTCTTTCTCTTTTTTTTTTGAGTTGGCATCTCGCTCTGTTGCCCAGGCTGGAGTACAGTGGCACGCTCACAGTCACTACAGCCTTGACCTGCTGGGCTCAGGCGATCCTCTGGCCTCGGTCTTTCAAGTAGCTGGAACCACAGGGGCGTTCTACCACATCCAGCTAATTTTTTGTCTCGCCAAGTTGCCCAGGCTGGTCTCAAACCCCTGGGCTCAGACAATCCTCTCACCTCCACCTCCCAAAGTGCTCGGATTGTAGGTGTGAGCGACTGCACCCAGTCAAGAAGTTTCTAGAGGAAAAAGAGTTTTGGAGTTTGAGAAAAATTTCAGATGTAGAAATGCCCTTCTAAGTGATTGCCCAAACTCAACCAGCAACTAAGTATTTGACTGCTCTGAATAAACTTCCTTTAGAAAGATAGTCCAGGATATAAAGGATCAAGGAGTAAAAAAGGAAGAAGTAATAACAGCACGAGGATCCCCCAACAACAATTCAGATTAAATTAACAGGCAAAGATGCCAAAAGGACCTGCTTCCTCCTCCTACCTTGGAATGCCCACATAGGTGATGAAGCAGTCTCGTGTCCAGCTGGAAGGTTTCCAGTAAGCTCAGAACATCTTCCTAGAATCAAAAAAATTTATAAATACTGAATGAAATGTTCTAATTTCATTTTAGATGCAAGATATCCTTGCAACCAAGGGCCCCAGAGAAGATAAGCCCTGCAAGTTCTAGCCTGTGATGTTAATCATCTTAATGATTCTCAAAATAGGAGCAAGAATGAATGCTGAATACTTCTTGCTCCCACTTCTCCCACTTCTGTCTCTGTATAAATCTGAGAGTTATAAGACCTGTATTTTATTTTATTTTTTGAGTTGGGAGTCTCACTCTGTCACCCAGGTTGGAATACTGTAGCCTTGACCTCCTGGGTTCAGGCAATCCTTCTGCCTCAGTCTCCAGAGTATCTGGGACTACAGGTGTGTGCCATTATGCCTAATTTTTTTTTTTTGAGTTACCAGAGTCTCACTCTGTCGTCAACACTGGATTGCAGTGGCACACTCATGGCCACCTCAGTATCAACCTGCTGGGCTCCGGTAATCCTTCTGCTTCTGCCTTCCAAGTAGCCGAAACTACAGGTAGGCACTACCTGCCTGGCTAATTTTTTATTTATTGTAGAGACGAGGTCTCACCAAGTTGCCTGAGCTGGTATCGAACCACGGACTCAGGCAATCCACTCACCTCACCCTCCCAAAGTGCTGGGATTACAGGCTGAGCCACTGAGCCTGTCCCTTAATTTTTAAAATTTTTTTTGTAGAGTCATAGTCTAGCTATGCTGCCCAGACTGGTCTTGAACTCCTGAGTTCAAGCAATCTTCTCACCTTGACCTCCCAAAGTGCTGGAATTACAGGCATAAGCCACTGTAGGAATTTTAAAAATATTTTTGAGACAGGGCCTCACTCTGTCACCCAGGCTAGAATGCAGTGGCATGATCACGCCTCACTGTACCCTCAAATCCCAAGGCTCAAGCAATCCTCTTGCCTCAGTCTCCCAAGTAGCTAGGAATACAGGTGCATGCCTCCATACTTGGCTAAATTTTACATTTTTTGTAGAGGTAAGACCTGCTATGTGGCCCAGACTGGTCTTGAACTCCTAGCCTCAAGTGATCCAACCACCTTGGCCTCCCAAAGTGCTGGGATTATAGGCATAAGCCATTGCACCCAGTTTTGTTTTGTTTTTTTAAGATAAAGGTTCTCTGTTGCCCAGAGTGGAGTGCAGTGGTGTGATCATAGTTCACTGTAGCCCCAAACTTCTGGATGCAAGTGATCCTCCTGCCTCAGCCTCCCATGTCACTGGGACTGCAGGTGCACACCACCACACCAGGTTGGACATAGTTTCTGAGCAACTCTTCAGAGCATGTCTTTGCTCTTTGTTCTCAACTCTTACCCGATGTTTTCTAAAACTGAAGTCTAGGAGCGGCATACACTGCTTCAGAAATGCTTCCACAAAGAGACGTCCATACTGAAGAAAAAAGAAATATTGGTAACCTCTAGCTGAGGTCTTTCACCTGAAAGTCCCCTTCCTGAGGCAGCACAGTATCACCTAGCCCAAGGCTTTTATCTTCTTATTTGTATATATTAAATATAGATTGGGAGGGGTCCAAAAGGTTTACTTAGAGAAATGTAGCTTAATGTAAAAATTAAATAGGCCTGTTAACTAAGCCTCCAAATTAGGCAGACTTATCTACCCTAGACATAGTTAATGGACAGAGACCTTGCTCAGCTGAAGAGTGAGAGCACAGAGCAGTAGAGGGAAACCCTAGCTTCCTAAGGATAACTTACTCTCAAGATGGAAAAACTGAGTAAAGCTGAGGAAGCATTATGACCAGTTTCCAAATTTCCCAATCAGAAAAATCACTCCTCCCTCCAATCCACCCATCTCTCATACTGCATCAAGGTGGAGTGAACAAAGAGGGAGAGAGACCAGGAGATAACAAGAATGGGGCACCAGGCATTTGGAAGGAAACATCAGGAGGAGGGGGGCAGCATTCTCTCCTAACATTCTGATTGGGTTTACCATCAAATCTAGGGCTAATCTGGAATATCAACCATGTAAGAGGAGTTTGACATGTAGGATATCAGATCTGTTAGCACAGATCCTAAAGACTGTAGCTTGTAGGAAAGGTAATGAGCACTTCATCTCAGCTGAGGTGCTCTCTAGAGTGATCCACAGGAAGAATAATTACTAAACAGGGGCCAGTAAATCACTCACCTTCAAACATATATGCAGAACAGGATGACTATCAAATACCTGAAGAGGTAAAAGACAAGAAACCAAAGTTGAGCTCTGCTCCTTGGAGCATCTCAGCCTCTTTCCCACTGTGCAAAGCACAGCTCTGGGTGCTACAGAGAACTCTAAGGGAAGAAGGCATGCCAACAATTTAATTACAAAACAGAATAAAGTAATCACCATAACTAAAGTTCAAGAAAAGGAAAAGAGGAACAAAGAGAAACAAGAAACTGATTCCAACTGAGGATACTGACAAGATGGCATTATTAGAGGTCCAAAACCTTGATCTGAAACTTTAAGACTGAATGAGAGAGGTGGAAAGGACAGGGAGTGAAGTAGCAGGCTGGCGAAACATCCTGAGCAAAAATCACAGAGTGAGTGAGAACACTGTGCTTAAAGAAGAATGAAGCATGGGGGTTGTAAGAGATACAGTGTTCAGATCTCAAGGCAGGATGAGAGAAAGTGGGGGAATTACAGGTGGAAGGAGTCATCAAATAGTAAGTATTGTGGCATAGGTGGGAGGAAGGAAGAGAAGGGAAAAGATAATGCTTAAAGAGAAAAGGGGTTATCCTGGATAGGTAGGGGAACAAAGGAAGAAGAAGATGTGGGGAGAGCAGATCCCAAGGCAGGGTGGAAAGAGGAGTGAGGAGAGCCAGTTTTGGAAGCCTGGACCTTGGGTTTCTGCATAGCTGATAAGGTGGGCCAAGGAGCCTCCATACTCACCTTTATCAGGTTGATGAGGATACTGAAGTCGCGAACAGCCATGTTCCAGTAGAGGAGTTTCTCTTCATGAATCTGGAGGAAGCCAAATATACAGGCACTTCTGAAGCAAGCCAAATACTTCTCCTGCTACTCCCACTAACACATGGTTTTTGAATTACACAGCTATTCAGAGACTAAGTCAATGACGCCTCCAAAAAGATGTGGCAACCAGTGCACCCTTAAGATGGTTCTGAAGCCCACATAAATTGTGATATTAGAATATCTTATAGAGAAAGACTTTTTGAAAAGATTATTGCTCTTCAGTCATTGCCAAGTAGGTCAAAGTCTCTGCAACATACCTACCGGTCATCAGATCTGTGTGGTTTCTCTGATTCCCTGCATTAGCCCTTCCTCTCAGCAGTCTAGTTCATTTCTGGTTCGTAGGCTGCCAAGACCCACCACACCTCAAGCAGGCTGGTTTACCTCATCCCAGTTGGTAAGAAGTCATTGGGGCGGTAGCAAGAAAAAAGAGAGCCCAATTCTCACCTCTAATTAGAGGGAAAGGAAATAAAACCAGAAGCTCTTTGAAAAAAAATTCTGATTATTGGTAAAACAAAAAATACTTAGGAGAAACCTGAACCCGAGAAATAGAAGAACAACTTCCAAGTAATCTAGAATCCACTTCTTTGAGAGAATCTGACTCACCTGCTGTGAATCTGCTGCTGTGCCAGCCTGAAGAACTTTCACTGTCTTCTCTAGTTCAGCCATCATCACACGGAAGAAAATAACAAAGGTGTGCCTAGAAGTGGAGAAAAGCATGCACACCCATACCATGATGCACTGCTTAGAAAGAACTTCCTGGGAAGAAACCAGGAACCAAAAGGAACTTATTTCTCCACCTCTCTGAATTTCCTTTCACTAGGGTCCACTGTAAGAGGATGGGGGAATGAAAGGATTCAGAAATGAGCTCAAGAAGATAGCCCTAACAATGAAATTTTTTATTTTTTTATATATCAATATTTTTTATTCTGACACTATGGGGTACAGTCAAGGGTTAGATATACAAATATGCTTCATTCAGGCACCCTTGTTGATAAGGGATATCTCCCTGTCTCCAGACAGATATTGACTACCGTTAATCCCACATCCCTCCCCCTGCCCATAACAATGAAATTAACCTTATGAAAGCAGGTGACATGGTAGTACAAAAAAGCAATGAAGTAATGGTGGGAAGATGTGAGTTTGAGTCCTGCTTCTATGTATACGGCCTGTGTAAGCTTGAGAAGTTTCCCCTCTAATCCTCATTCTCCTCAACAGTAAAATAAGGGTAATGATACCTATATCTCACAGAATTATTGAAAGGATCAAATGAGAAGAAGAAAGTGAAAATGCTTTATAAACTGACAAGACTCGTGAAAATGCCTTTATAAACTAAAGGTGGTTAAAAGACTGGAAAAATAGGCTCAAGCTTATAGGATGAAAGTAAAGATAAGAAATGTTTGGTGACCAAAATGTTCACTGCCTTTGAAGACTGTAACTACTGAAAATTCATTCCTCAAAAAGGTCCTCTCACATGTTTTGGCTGAGAGGTCCTTGGAAAGAATGCAAAGTAAACACTGTTGAATGAATGAGTGTATCTACCATCTATCTGTATCAGTATTAAATGAGGAGCAAAGTAATTATTTGAAAACTACATACCTGGGACAGTGTGAATCTATCTTAGGCAAAGAACTAGAGACAAGAACTCCCTTACCTGGTCAGTGTAGGGAACGTGGAAGAAGCTGCATCTTTAGGAGAGTTGATTAATTCTGGGACACCAACACCAGCAATCTCCTCTATGGCCTTCAGAACGCTGTCTGTGTGCTCCAGGTAGATACTGCATTGAGAGTCAAATATTTGACTCAGTGATTAATAAGGTAGGATACAACTGTAGATTCCTTTACTTTCTATGTGATTTGATTTAATAATAAAGTATTAGATAACAGACTAAAACAGAACTAGAGGATCTTAAGATCTACATATTCCAAATTGTGTTCAGTTTAAACCTACTTCATTGATTTATTTTTTATTTTTTATTTTTTTGAGTTGGAGTCTCACTCTCTCACCCAGGCTGGAGTGCAGTGGCATGCTGCTCATGGCCACTGCAGCATCGACCTGCTGGGCTCAGGTGATTCTCCCACCTCAGCCTTCCAAGTAGCTGGAACTACAGGCACATACCACCATGCCCGGCTCAGTTTTTGATTTATTGCAGAGAAGAGGTCTCGCCAAGTTGCCCAGGCTGGTTTTGAACCCATGGGCTCAGGCAATTCTCTCGCCTCGGCCTCCCAAAAACTGTGCCTGGCCCTGATTTCAAGTTCATTTCTCAGTCTCTGACCAGATGAGGAATCCCAACAGTAGCAAAATGCAAAAAGGTTACTGGCCCATTGGAAGAAACCAAACACCTCACCAGAGCAAAGCATGGAGCTGGTCATTAGAGATGCTGCTCTTCTCTTTCTCTCCACTTGGCCACACCCTACTGAGGAACTGTCTGGCGAGAGAAGCTGTTAGAAAACAAGGCAAAGGCATATTATATGTGGGAAACTGACCACATTCTTGTCTTTCTGGTTTTTGAGGATGACCACTGCTCAAAAGGATTACTATTTTAAGTTTACTAAGAAGTTCCTGGTCTAACAGGCAACTTGTAAAAAGCTGTCATGATCTTGCTCCACCGGCCCTTCTGCCAGGTAGAAACACATTTGTCTAAGACCCAGAACATCCCACTCCGACTCCATCCTGAAACTCACACACATGAATATACACAGACACACAAAGAAAGGAATGTTGTTAGGCAGTAAGAAAGCCAATCTTGTTCCTTCTGGGCAGGTCAATAGCAATGACCAGTTCAAAGATTCAAACCAAAACTCTCTCCCTCTAATCAATAGGGAATAATAAAGGTTTTGTGTTTTTATCTTGCTTTCTGTTTGTGCTGCCAACTAGGATGCATAATTAGTGAGCTGCATTCCAAGAGCTATGATAAAAGACAGTTAAAGAAAAAAGTTGGCTCGGTGGCTCAGCCTGTAATCCCAGCGCTTTGGGAGGCTGAGGTGAGTGGATTGCCTGAGCCCTCGGGTTTGAGACCTAATATCTACAATAAAATTAAAAAATTAACTGGGCGTGGTAGCACGCACCTGTAGTTCCGGCTACTTGGAAGGCTGAGGCGGAAGGATCGCTGGAGCACAGCAGCTCGAGGCTGCGGTGGCCAGGAGCATGCCACTGCACTCCAGTCTAGGCGACAGAGTGAGACTCCAACTCAAAAAAAAAAAGAAAAAAGTTGGCTGGGCACAGTGGCTCACATCTGTAATCCCAGCATTTTAAGAGGCAGAGGTGAGAGGGATTGCCTGAGCTCAGGGGGTCAAGGCTAGCCTGAGCAACATGGCAAGACCTCGTCTGTATAATAAATAAATAAATAAATAATTAGCCTTAACTGGGTATGGTGGCACGTGCCTTCAATTCCAGCTACTTGGAAGGTTGAGGTGGAAGGATCACCTGATGATAGGTCAAGGCTGTGGTAGCCATAAACAACTCAAAAAAAAAGAAGAAAAAAAATAGCTAAGTGTGGTGGCACATGTCTGTGGCAGAAGGATTGCCTGAGCGTGCCACTACATTCTAGCCTGGGTGACAGAGTGAGACTAACTCAAAAAAAAAAAAGAAAAAGAAAAACGTCATGGAAAGGGCCAGTATTTTCTTTTTTTCTTTTTTTGAGTTGGAGTCTCACTCTGTCGCCCAGACTGGAGTGCAGCACCGCAGCCTCGACCTGCTGGGCTCCGGCGATCCTTCCACCTCAGCCTTCTGAGTAGCTGGAACTACAGGTGTGCGTTACCATGCCCGGCTAATTTTTTGTTTTATTATAGAGATGAGGTCTCACCAAGTTGTCCAGGTGGGTCTCGAACCCGCGGGCTCAAGCATCCACTCACCTCAGCCTCCCAAAGGCGCAGGATTACAGGCTGAGCCACCGAGCCCGGCTAGTATTTTCTTTACACTAATTTCTTGGCCCTAATTTTTCCTTTTTTTCTCACTTTATTAATATTACGATTTAAGTCTTTCTTCTTGCCAAATGTCTCAGATAATTAAAAAATAATTCGAGACCCGCCTGGACAGCAAGACCTCATCTCTACAATAAATTAAAAAATCAGCCAGGCGTGGTAGCGCATGCCTATAATTCTGGCTACTTGGAAGGCTGAGGCGGAAGGATCGCCGGAATCCAGTAGGTCGAGGCTGCGGTGGCCGGGAGCGGCCACTGCACTCCAGTCTGGGCGACAGAGACTCCAACTCAAAAAAAAAAAAAAGAACCAGGAAACTATCTACCTAGCTAATCTAAACAAATTTTGACTAAGAAATATCAGCAGGACCAGGCTCGGTGGCTCAGCCTGTAATCCCAGCACTTTGGGAGACCGAGGTGAGCGGATTGCCTGAGCCCGCGGGTTCAAGACCCGCCTGGGCAACTTGGTGAGACCTCATCTCTACAATAAATCAAAAAATCAGTCAGGCATGGTAGCGCACGCCTGTAATTTCGGCTACTCGGAAGGCTGAGGCGGAAGGATCACCGGAACCCAGGAGGTCGAGGCTGCGGTGGCCGGGAGCAGCCACTGCACTCCAGTCTGGGTGACAGAGTGAGACTCCAATTCAGAAAAAAAAAAAAAAAACCAACAACAACAAAAAAGAAATATCAGCAGAAATCATTCATAGCTCCTTCAGGGAAAATGTCCTTCTTTGTATAACATGAAGATATGTCCAAGGTTATGTGGGGATTTACATATTAAAATGTACAAAGTCCTGGGAAGCTCCAAATTTACAAGTGTGAGATAGTAATTCTATTTATGGGGTGGGGGTGTGAAGAAAGAAGATCTGTAGCCATCACCAATTTTTTTTTTGTTCTGAGTAGGAGCCGTAGATTTCTCCAAAATGACCATCAAAAGTCTGATGAGATAAAGAGCACACTGGAAACTGGGAATGCTGTGATGGAAATTCTGCAAGTACTGGAAACTCTGGCTGTAAGGAAAAAAGAAAAGCAAACAAATACAACAGTATCACATGTGTTACAAATATGCTTAAATCTACATGATTTGCCCAAATCTCTTTTAAGTGTTTGATGGCCTAATTAGAATACTCCTCATTTCCAGGTGCAATAACAACCTTCTTTCAAACATCTTGGTGGAAAACCCTATCTATGTATGGAGAAAACCAGGGAAGAAAAGAGCCCCACAGAAGGAATGTTAGCATGTTGGCCAAGAAACCCAGGCGCCACGCTAACATAAACAACCCTAGATAAATTATTTGTTCTTTAAAGTCCTGGGCAATACACCAAGAATAAAGTTTAAAATCTGAATTCAGCCAGGCTTGGTGGCTCAGCCTGTAATCCCGTGCCTTGAGAGGCTGAGGTGAGTGGATTGCCTGAGCCCGCGGGTTCGAGACCCGCTTGGGCAACTTGGTGAGACCTCATCTCTACAATAAATCAAAAAATTAGCTGGGCGTGGTAGCGCATGCCTGTAGTTCCAGCTAGTTGGAAGGCTGAGGTGGAAGGATCACCAGAGCCCAGCAGGTTGAGGTTGTCTGGCCGGGAGTGGCCACTGCACTCCAGTATGGGTGACAGAGTGAGACTCTAACTCAAAAAAAAAAAAATCTGAATTCATATGACTTGAAAACAAATTATAAGGCAAGGAAAGCAGAACTTTAAATAAATGTGTCATATATGATCAGCTTTCAATGCACTGAAGCAATGGAAAATGGAGAATCACAAGCCAACATTGTAGTTAAAACAAGAGTCAACTCCTGATTGATTGACGAGAAGATCAAACAAATAAAAAGTTCTGTATTACATTCAAAATGAAGGCTGGGTTCAGTGGCTCATGCCTGTAATCCTAGCACTTTCGGAAGTCTACTCAAGTGGAGTGCATTTTGCTCAGCAGTTTGAGACCAGCAACATAGTGATACCTCATCTCTACAAAAAATAAAAATAAAAATAATTAGCCAGGCATGGTGGCCCTCATCTATAGCCCCAGTTAGTCAGGAGGCTGAGGTGAAAGGATTCCTTGAGCCCAAAAGGTTGAAGCTCCAGCCATGATTGTGCTACTGCACTCCAGCCTGGCAATGGAGTGAGACCCAGACTCAGAAAAAAGATAAATAAATAGACAGACAAATAAATACATACAAAAACAAACAAATTAATTAATTAAAAAAATGAACCTGTTTCACTCTGGATGAATCTGGGGTAGAAGGCTGCAAGTCATGTCCCTACGTTTACCTTCTCACCTCCCTCATCTACTGCCTATCCCTCAGCCATATAAGATCTTTCTTCAAGACTAGGGGAAGGAAATGAGCAATCAGTGATAACTACCTGCTGTTTAATGACCTAACCCTGCTGAGAGACAGAGTAGATCCCAAGATAATCATGAATTGACTATAGCTGGGCAAGGTGGCTCATGCCTGTCATCCCAGCACTTTGGGAAGCAGAGGCAAGAGGACTGCCTGAGTCCAAGAGTTTGAGACTAGCTTGGACAACTTGGTGAGGCCTCATCTCTACAATAAAATAAAACATTAGCCAGCTGTGGTGGCATGTGTCTGTAATTCTAGCTACTTGGAAGGCTGAGGCAGAAGGATCGCCCAAGTCCAGCAGGTTAAGGTTGTGGTGGCATTGTAGCCTGGGCAACAGAGTGAGAAGCCTACTAAAATAAATAAATAAATAAATTGACTATATAGATGGCCAATGTTTTCATCATCGTTATACGAAAAGGCAGAGTTTATGAGTTAATATATGCATGAAGATTTAGCATGATTTGCTCAAGGGTCTCCAATGTTTCAGGAGTTATCAGAACTCATAGGTGAGAAAGCTCATAGTAAAAAATATCAAATTCCTTAATAACTATGAAGACAACCAAGTTATTTCAAAGAAATCTTGCCAATCCTATTCCTAGGAATTTCTTGGGATGACACTCTTAGATTCGTAGTCTGACCCACCTGAGCAGTTCCTCCAAGGACTGGTCACGTTCTCCCTGCTTCAATCGGTTAGCCAGGACCTCAAGGGCCGAATACAGTAAATTCTGATTGTCAGGCAGAAAAAATCCACTCCTAAGAAAGTCAAAGTAAGATGGTGTAGCTTAGTTTCAGGAAGATTACTTGGACAGGATTTGAGGAGCCTGGCCTCCAGTCTGTACCATCAAAGGGCAACAGAGTTTGAAAATAGAAGCGTTGAGAGTACTCAAGTGCCAAATTCAGTCAAAGCTCTAAGTATCAGATTAGAAATTGAACTACACCCAAAATAATCTTTCCTTAAAAACCTAGCAGTCCTCAAGAGAGAAAAACCTCTTTTTCTTTTTTTCTTGAGTTGGAGTCTCTGTCACCCAGACTGGAGTGCAGTGGCTGCTCCCGGCCACCGCAGCCTCAACTTGTTGGGCTCCGGCGATTCTTTCGCTTCAGCCTTCCAAGTAGCCGGAATTACAGGCACGCGCTACCACGCCCGGCTGATTTTTTGATTTATTGTAGAGATGAGGTCTCGCTGCCCAGGTGGGTCTTGAACCCACGGGCTCAGCCAATCCACTCACCTCAGCCTCCCAAAGGCGCGGGATTACAGGCTGAGCCACCAAGCCCGGCAAAGCTCTTTTTCATTCCCTACATTTTAGAGATAAGCCTGTCTTCTCTAAAAACACAGGAATAATTTTGTCAAATTTCTAAATCAATGTTCAATCCAAAATGATGCTCCATAAAGAAGTTACCCCTCCTTCTACATTAATAAGTGAAGTCTTGACAATTCTATCTTCAAATTATCTTTCATATTGTTCCTTCCTTTCCAAGCCCACACCATCATTCTAGGCCAGTCCCTTATCAGCACATGTGTAAATCATACAGACACCTTTTGACTGGCTTTTTTGCAACCCTTTTCAGTCTGCATATTGTTACCAAAAGGATTTTCCTAAATCACTGCTTTCATTATACCAAGACTGTGTGTAACTCCAACTGTTTCCTGGGGCAATGCTTAAATTCTGCTTGACTGTCAAGGCTCAGAACAATCTGACTTCTTAGATCTTCTTCTCTAGAAACATCTTATTCATCACCAGTAGTAGTCATCCTTCCTTTCAACAAATATATTCCAAGAGTTAATCAGAACTCAGGTTTTTTTCTGTTACAGCTTTATTGGGGTATAATTGATGTACAATACACCGTATGTATTTAAAATGCTGAATTTGATCAGTTTTGACTTATAAACCCATGATAACATCACCACAATGAAGATAATGAAATTTCCAATGACCTCCCCCCAAATTTCCTTGTACTTCTTTTTATACCCATTTCTCCCTCCATCTTCCCACCCAATACTAGGCAACCACTGATCTATTTTCCACAGCACAAGAGTATATGCTTTAAAAAAAAAAAACTTTATAGCTGGGCTCGGTGGCTCAGCCTGTAATCCCGCGCCTTTGGGAGGCTGAGGTGAGTGGATTGCCTGAGCCCGCGGGTTCGAGACCCGCATGGGCAGGGGAGATCTCATCTCTACAATAAATCAAAAAATTAGCCAGGCGTGGTAGCGCACGCCTGTAATTCCGGCTACTTGGAAGGCTGAGGCGGAAGGATCGCCAGAGCCCAGCAGGTCGAGGCTGCGGTGGCCGGGAGCGGCCACTGCACTCCAGTCTGGGCTACAGAGTGAGACTCCAACTCAAATAAATAAATAAATAAATAGTAAAAAAAATTTATATAGGGAATCAGATAATTTTGGTTTTGCTTTTTATTCAGCATGATTCTTTTTCACCCACGTTGTTGCACAAAGCATTCCATTATATGCATATATTACAATTTGTTTATACATCCACAGGTTGATGGATATTTGGATTGTTTTCATTTTGGGGCTATTAGAAACAAAGCTGGTATACATGTTCCTGTATAAGAAATTATGTAAGAGCCAGGCTCGGTGGCTCAGCCTGTAATCCCGCGCCTTGGGAGCCTGAGGTGAGTGAATTGCCTGAGCCTGCGGGTTCATGACCTGCCTGGGCAACTTGGTGAGACCTCATCTCTACAATAAATCAAAAAATCAGCCGGGCGTGGTAGCGTGCGCCTGTAGTTCCAGCTACTTGGAAGGCTGAGGTGGAAGGATCGCCGGAGCCCAGCAGGTCGAGGCTGCAGGGGCCGGGCGC